TGCCAAGCTTTAAACGTCTGACCAACGACCCGCTTACGTTTTTATTTAGTCTCGTCTCATTGACGAAAACTTACACCTATTACTCAGCATGTTTTTGTAATCGAAGATCTATGCTTATCTCGTCATTAAAAAAAAGGAGCGTCAACAAAATAATTTTGTCATTGTTGAAGAAAACAACACTGGTTCCAACCAGTTCAATTTAGTTAATTTTATTTATATGGCTCAAATACACAACACATGTCATATCAATGTACATTACAGACTTCACAATAGTCAGATTGGTTAAGAAAACCAGTCGATTGCATCCAGTTATTGACTTGCAAGACATGCTCCTTCTTAAATGAGCTTGCAGCAATGATTTTCACTGCCTTTTGTCGTTGACTCTTCAGCAATCCCTCACACCAAGTATGCATGATCCGATAGTGGAGAAGGAAAACTCCCTTTTAACAAGAAGAAACCTTCCAGCAGAATCAGGTTCAGTGTAAGTGACCATCTGCCGAGGCCGACTGGGGTTCAAGAAGACAGAAGCAGACATAGAGAAAAGCAAAGATAAGGTAACTGTTAACCAGCTCCACAGGCGGGCTGGTCCAGGAAACACACAGCCAGGCAGATGAGCTCTGAGCCATTTCTCTTGTCAGAGGATGAAAGAAAATACATACAGTTGGTTACATCAAAGGAAACAGGACTACAATGAGAACCGGCCAAGCTTAAATATCCATAAACAGAATTGTTCATGGCAGCAGCACAGCTAAAAAGGAACAGACCAGATGAAGCTACTATGGCAGGAATAAGCAGAGAGAACAAAAGGTTGTAAGTGGAACAAATACTGCAGACTAGGAGAATAGATATAGAATGAAGCAGAATAAGGAAAAGTGTTCCTTATGTGATCCAGCAGCCTAAACATATAGCAGCAAAAATATAGAAGGGAGTGTTGGCTTAGTAGGTTAGAGCAGCGCGCTTGTGCTATGAGTTTTGCAAGTACCCAGTTCCCCACAGCCTCCACTCTGGGTTCCTGAGCAAAACCCTTAACCCAACACTGCTCCCCCGGCGCCTCCCAATGGCAGCCCATTGCTCCCCAATGGGATGGGTCAAAATGCAGAAAACGAATTTCCCCATTGTGGGAAAATAAAGGGATTTACATTTTCAAAATGGCTCAGGATAACTTAACAATTTTGGAAGAGGTATAAGAAAGGTACATCCACAGTAGGGCCAAGGTAGAGCCAAGGAGAAATGTGCTCGGACTGAAATTCTCCCACACTGGATCAGGCTGTGTACGTTCTTCCTCCACCTACCTCTCTACTCACCCAGTTACTAAGCAAACATCACTCTTTTTTTTTTAACTATAAGCTTTATCTAAAAAGAAGGCTGTAAGCCTACTCTTAAAAGTAGACAAGAGTGTCTGTCTAATGGACTAAAACTGGTAGCTGGACAAGACAGGAGCCTGATAACTTAAAGATCTGCCTCCTATTCTACTTTTAGAAATTCTAGGAACCACTAATTCACCTGCAGAATGAGAGTGGAGTGCTCGCTTAGGAACATAAGGAAGAATCAGACCCCTGATACAAGACAAAGCTTGGTTATTTAGTGCTTTATATGTGAGAAGGAAGTTTTTTAATTCTATTTGGATTTCACAGAAAGCCAATTGAGTGAAGATAGATAGGAGAAATTGATCTCTCTTTTTAATTTCATCAGAATGCCGGCTGGAGAAGCTTTGGAGATCCAGAGCTTAGGTGGGAGAATCTGATGACCGGACAAATATGAGTCTTGCAGTCAAAACATATCAAAACAGAACCCACATTCAGAATTACATATTTATCTTAAAATAACCATTACACATCACCCTGAACATATCATCTAATAGTCAGAGTTGATGACAAGATGGGTGGAGCTGAAAAAAGGGTCATTCCAGTGAAAACAACAATGTTGGAGGCTGAAAAAGTCAAAAAATTGAACTTCCAGCAGGATATTTGACCCAAAGCATACAGCCAGAGCTACAATGAAAAAGGTTCATATCAAAGCCTACACAAGTGTTACAAACTTGAAAAATCCCCAAAATTAGAAAGTAATAATAATAATAATAAATAATAATCTGAATTTATAAAAACAAAAAAAAACAAAAACAGTGGGCATAACCTTTAGTCTAATGATGAAAAACACACAGCCCTTGCAGCTGTCATTGCAATGAACTGTGTAGGTTCAGAAAGCCATATGTCATTTTCCTTCCACTTCCCAAACGTGTGGTGCTCTTTGTTGGCTGATGGTATAACAGCTTATTGAAATCACATTTAGGTTTGTGGTTGTAATGTGTCTAAATAAAAGAAAAAGGCTTTAAAGTAGTATGGAGATTTTGTTGTAAAGTTCCATTTTGTTGGTTGGATAAAACAAAACAAAAATTCAAAGTGTTTCATTAAATATCATGAACAAAGTCTGTGTTACACTACAGACATTTGTCCTTTACTCCCCTCTGTGCTCAGGTCTAAATTTAGTCAAGTCTAAAATAGCAGTAGTGACATTCATACTTTATCCTATGAAAGAGAGAGGAAAAATTACACTGTGTCGTTTCTAAGGCTGCTAGGAACAATAAAGAAAAGTTAAATACAAGAATAATCATTTCTACTACTTTATAAAAGCTAAATTCCTCCAAAATACATTTAACATGGATTGTAATGGGATAAGAAATATAAAAATATAATAGTTTAACTCTCAGTCATATCTGCTTGTTATGTAAATTATGTAGGGTGTATAACCAGTAAATATAAAAATAATTTTGCTGACAAAGTTGAAAGTGTTCTTCATTTTCCTACGTGAGATTTGCAATGTTTAAATAAGCAACTATCCTTAACCAGAAATAGTTAGAATATATCAGAAAGGATAAATATGTCACAAATGTATTTATATGTTTTGATAGAAATAATAAAAGGAGTGTTCATCTGGTTGTGAGGGACATTTTACAAAGAAATCAAACTAATTAGAAAGTGAATTGTATATGTTTAGCATTTTATTGAGTTTTTCATTCTTCCTGTATCTAATACTAAAAAACATGAAAATAAACAATCTAGCACATTCATCTTTGTTCTACTTCACTTTTGGGCACAAACAAAGGAGATAAAGACACTATGAAACATTGCTGTAAATGAGAGGGAGGGGGGCCAGTTTGGGAAAATTAATCAGTCCAGCACAAAGCAGTCCTGTCGTGTAGGTCAGCAGAAAGCCCAGCAACTGAAGAAAGCAGGGAATGTGACTTTTACACCCTTGGAACTCAGGGTAGTTTCGTAAAACCTTCACTGTTTTACGCCCCAGAGTATGTTGATTATTTCTTAGCAACAAAAAAAAGATGTCTTTCACAAACTCCTCCCTCCTAAATGAAAACATGAACAGAAAATTCCTGACTCAACAGGGCAGCAACAGTGTCAGTAATGTATGCATTGCTTTTATTTGTACAAGCACTCCCAAAACCATACAAGGGGACAGTTACACAATACATGAAGCAACAGATGAACTTTGCTTGTTGCACAATCTGTGAAGGCTCACTTAAATACATTAAGTTATATCCCCTATGTTTTTCATCAAGTAAGTTCAAAAGTACATTCTTGGTCGAAACGTAAAAACATTTAGTGACAAAAATTTGCTGATGGAGTTTACATGTTACAGCGGGTTCATTAATTCACATTTAATTTGAAATCTGTGTACAGAATTGTGTTATAATTAATGTTATAGTTACCTGTCTAGGAAAAACACAAACTCCTAATGTGTAAAGTTTGTTTTAACACAAAATACTGCTTTTAATGATTTTGTTTGTGACGTAAGGTTACAGAATAATATATACACCAACTAGTCAATATGACTAAAACTCGGAAGATTTTACTGTAAACATGACAATATGATTAGCGCTTTAAAAAAACTGCAAAATGGGTGGGTGCTGGTCATTTCGGCCCTTTTTCTTTTTTTCCAGGAACAGCTTAGAGCTGTTTGCTGTAATATGTTGCACTAAAACACTGAGGCAACTCAAACCTCCCTGGGGGATCTGTAGTACTTTTTATGATGTAAACTATTTAAATTTGCAATTCACTATATTAGGAAACCTTCCGTTTCTTCTTCTTTCTTGCCCCTCCCCGCATCAGATCCAGTTTCCTAACATTCAGTATCCAAGGTACCAAGAGTTGTGAGCATAAGAGCCAACAATGAGCTATTCTTATCTTTAGCAAACATAGTAAATGCTTGAAACTGTCTTAACTACCATCTTCCAAATACAGCATCTTAGAGATTTTAGTGTTTTATGTTTCCAATTGAATTCAACATATTTTCAAGCTCTATTATTTTTTTAACAGTCCATTATAGTTAACCATAATGAAATGTAGTTATTTGAAATTAAAGTAGCTTTACTCTAAAAATGTCACTCTGTGGTATTTTGATCTGTCAGAATCTGTCATATTTCAGGTAAGTGGAACTGGAAAGTCAAAGAGCAATAGGTGGAAATATGGGGGATATGAAGTCCTTCAAAAATATTTCATTATAAAATGATGTACATTTAAGAAAATTTTGTTCAATAAAGGAAAAAATGCTTAACAGCACAGAGTGATATAGTAATAAGCATTGGTTTCATCAGACAGGTACCAAACGGAAGTAGAAAGGGACGAAATAGCCAAATCAACGGAGGGGCAGGATGACCTGTAAGGTTTGAAAACGCTGGCTCCTTTTACTACATATGCTCGAAAAGATTTTTTATTAAGTTGTGAGGTAACACTGTTGCATACAAAGCAATCCTAAAAATCAACATATTAAAAAGTTATGGGAAAACAAAAAAAGTTGTTGTTGTTTTTTTTTTTAATACCATTCATGTCATCTGAACTCTTCAATAGGATTTCAGAAAAAGTGCCAAAGTAAGTTGGGTTTCCTCTGGCTTTATAGTGCCAGGAAAAAAAAAATCTATTTGAGCAAATTAAAATTTAAAAGGAAAACCATTTGATTGTGTGTAAACATGTTTGTTTAATCTGTGTTCCCACTGTGAGAATTTCAACTGAACCACGCCAAACAAAAACTGGTCAATATGACCATCCATAATGAAATAATAATATAATAGTATTTCCCTTAATACTGAACATCATAAGAAATAATTATAAAACTAGGGGGACGTGTAAAGGTTGACTCCTTGGTCACTTCAAAATGCAGGAAATTGTCTAACTCTTGGAGCAGATAAGATGCAGTGCAATCCTTCACAAATCTCGTTAAAGTCTACCTAAGCAACCTACACGCAATCAACCAAAGATGAAGAAAAAAAAATAATAATAATTTGCTTGTGTATCCCCACTTTCTACTGCCACCCTGGGCAACCACCCAATAAGAAAACCACCAGTTTTCAACCAAAACAAAGGTAGTGTTCAAATTATAATATATACCTGTTACCTCAAACAAAATTATAGTTAAATTAAAAACACTAAACATAACATCATAAGAATGCTTAATGTATGATCAAGATGATTTACAATATTACAATCCTGGGACAGGTTTGTGGTTGAACACAATTTAGACTTAAATTAGAGTGCAACATTTTCAGCTTTGGTTCTTTTTACAAAGTGTAAAAGTTTAGTTAAAAAGGTACCTGTTAAAAAAATACTTTGATGCACAAAAAAAATGTCAGTTTAAAAGCATGCCTCAAGTAAGGCCTCATTCAAATGACTGGAGGAGACATTTCTCCAAATAAAATGGAGCAATTTCTAACATTGTTTATCCTTTGTTTTTCAGGCAATGGGCATCATGTGATCAAGAGGAGAAGCTTTAACCGGTACTTTACGCACACCCACATGCAAGTGTCCGAACAAAGAGGTGGCCACTGGTTTTGCTTCAACATGTCCAAACACAGACCCCACGCAGGAACCGTCTTGTATCTTCTAAGGCCCTGAAACCCACGGTTCAATCACAGCATCACACAGCATTTGCAAATATCCCCCGTGGTGGAGCGTTTCTGGAGGGTTGCCCGTGTCGCCGTTTCGAAGACCTCCCAGATGCCCTCTTTGGTTCTGGCGGAGCACTCCAAGTAGTCGTATGCGCCGATGCGCGCGGCCATAGCCCGGCCTTCCTCCGCCTTCACCGGCTCTAGCTTCATCCGAGACAGCTCGTTCTTGGTGTTCTCGTCGTTGCGCAGATCTTTCTTATTGGCAACCAAGATGATCGGCACGTTCGGACAAAAGTGCCTGACCTCGGGGACCCACTTTTCGGATATGTTCTCTAGAGAGTCCGGGCTGTCCACGGAGAAGCAGATGAGGATGACATCAGTGTCCGGGTAGGAGAGAGGGCGCAGTCGGTCATAGTCCTCCTGTCCAGCTGTGTCCCACAGCGCCAGCTGCACTTGCTGGTTGTCTACTTCTATGTCGGCCACGTAGGTCTCAAACACTGTGGGGACGTAGACTTCAGGGAACTCGTCTTTGCTGAAAACTATCAGTAGACAAGTTTTCCCGCAGGCGCCGTCCCCGACTACCACCAGCTTCTTCCGTAGGACAGCCATCTGGGTCTCTTCTTTGGCTTTCTTTAATCGTGGCATACAAAACACAGATCTGGGCTCCTTTCTCGCTTCGGTCCTGATTAGAAACTGTCAGGAGACCGATCAAGCTTTTTCTGCCGGGTGGTTTTCTCTCCAAACTCTACAATGTTTGGGAAAATCCTAGGCCTTCAGTTTATAAAGCTGGGCTGGTTTCCTAAATATAACAATCCAATCGGAAATGAGGGAGTGAGATCATAGTTTGTAGAGGGTTGGGTGACTGGATATCATTGGTTTCTACTGAGGAGGGGAGGGCCAGAGGCCATCATATGTCCCAACCATGTGACCGAACTATATATTGCATTAAATTCTCTTTTAGCTTAGTTATGTTATAGTAATCATTAAAATCTTTCTTCTGTATACATTATCATGAGAAGCTTTGGGATCTTCCCACTTAAGTTGTGTT